CGTGGATGCAACTTGTGTCCAGACTGCCTTGAGCAAGGTGTTGTTTCAGCCCCCACCCCTAACACTGCCGCTGTACCTCTCCCCTTGCAGACGCCCGGTTCCCCTGGCCCATGCGGCTCTTCCACTCGGCAGTCAGGGTCTGCAAGAGTCCCCAGGGGAGCCCGAGTGAGCTGCAGACTTTCCACCAGATCCAGCGCCGGACACGCCGGCATCGCACCATATTCACTGAGGATCAGCTGCAGGCCTTGGAGACCCTTTTCCATGAGAACCAGTACCCAGACGTCATCACCCGCGAGCACCTGGCAAACCGCATCCATCTGAAGGAGGAGAGGGTCCCATTTGCTGTGGCCCCGCAAGAACATAGACTGGGGCACAGCACTGTCTTTTTCAGGAGCTGCAGACCCAGGGCCTCATTTTAAAAAAACACTTCTGGGTATTTAACAAAACACAGTCTGGGTTTGGCAAGCAATGGAAGAGTGCAGAACAGTTCATCTGGGCTGATTTGTTCTGATATATGCTCCCGTAAACTCACTCACTCGTCTCCTAGATTCATCTATGCAAATACACAGACTTGCCCAATTCTGCTCATCCCCTGCACCCAACTGTATATTCCTTATTTATGTGATCTGCGTGACTCCTGAATTTGCTGGGAAGTGGGGTCCCAGCTCCCTTGTGCCCCTTACATGTATCTGAGCAGGACTGCAGGGGAGGCACCGATTTAATTTTGTATCAAACTTTTATATCGGGAAATATTCTGCAGTATCCTAAAGCTTACGCTGCAGAGCCCAGGAGTGTAACTGCCTGCCTCCTCCAAGTAAAATATTAAAGTTTTTTTCTTGTTTTGCACTTTCCAGGTTTGGTTTAAAAATCGGCGGGCCAAGTGGCGGCACCAGAAGAGGGCATCTGCTTCAGCGCTGATCCTTCATGGCACCAAGAAGCCCACTGAGGAGAGCTGTTAGTGGCTGCAGGCTCCATCTCAGCAGACAAACTCCAAGAACATCCATTTCCCATAGCCAACAGGTTCTGTAGGGGGGGTAGCCCGTGGGGGACTAATGAAGCAAAAGGGATTTTTTGTGATTCCAAGAGGAGGAGGACAGGTAAAAGCAGATGTGGTACTTTCACATCCCAGTTTCTCTTCTAAACCTAGTTCACATGGTAAATAACTCACCAGGCACGACCCTCTGATGCTTTAGCAGAACCCACCGCCAAAGGCCCGCGCAGGCAGAGCTGTGCCAGTTCAGTGGGTGTGCTTCGAGAGAAGGGGAGGCTCCCCGGCTGCTCTTTGCTGTGCGCAGGCAGTCTGTGCTTGTTCTACTGTAGATTTGCAAAATATCCTGCAAATGAATGTTCCCTGTTTCCAGCACCTTGACGGCTGAATCTAGAGTTGTTTTGGGGGCTGAGCTTACCGAACAGGTGATCTGCTCCCCAGCACACAAACCCGGGTCTCTCCTGCAGCCTGCGGAGAGGGGAGAGCGGC